AGTGATATTTCGGAACAGTATCTAGTTCCTTCAATACCAATGTGTTCTAGTAATATGAATTTTTTTTCTGTGTTGGTGTTGTGTACTCAGGTGAATAATATGTTTGCGATGTTACTCTGAGTGCATATCCACACCGGGCGAACTTACTCGAACCGTCCTGACCGCGTAGCTCAGTTGGAAGAGCATTGGGCTAGTATTCCAAAGGTCGTAGGTTCGAATCCCACCGTGGCCGGGCATATTTTTCAAGCTCGCTCGGTGTGGATATGCACTCAGAGTAACATCGCAAACATATTATTCACCTGAGTACACAACACCAACACAGAAAAAAAATTCAGGTTGTAACAAAGTTGTTGTCATGACAGTAACAGGGCTTGGTAGAAGTTAATCCAGCAGGACTACACGCGTAAAAATCTCCAGCATAAGCTCCACCTCTGAATTTACTATATGAGTAAATTGTTAAATACGTCCGAAATTATCAATATGATAAATTCGCGACACATCTTGAACCCTAACATAATCTTAATCTAACCCTAATCTAATCTTTATCTGACACTAATCTAAACTTGATGATCTTTTTATTCTTTTTTTTTTCATAATCTATTTTTTAATAATCGCGAATTTATTGTATTGATAAATTCGGACGTGTTTAACAATTTACTCATATAGTAAATTCAAAGGTGGAGCTCATGTTGAAAGTCTCACATCTTGTTGCAAGTCTGTCAACAAGTTGTGTTCGCACTGCTTGTCCCAAGTTGTCAACAAGTTTGGAGAAACTGTTAACAACTTGCAACAACCTTGTTGATACTATCAGACTTGTTGCAAGGTTTTTCCAAGAAGTCCGATACAGTCATGATATAACAATATTGTTACAATCTTGTGTCGTCAAACTCATGTCATGACTGTATCAGACTTGTTAGAACAACCTTGTAACAAGTCTGATAATGCCATAAATGTTACAACATCTAGAAACAAGCAGTGCGAACACACTTGTCGACAACTTGTGAACAGATTTGTGACAACTTGTTTGCAGACCTGTGACAACTTGTGCGTTTTTATGTGTGTAATAATAAATTGCTACGAACTTGTTGTCATCAACTTGTAAATAACTTGATGTTTGTGATGTTACTCTGAGTGTATATCCACACCGGGCGAGCTTGAGAAATATGCCCGGCAACGGTGGGAATCGAACCACGACCTTTGGAATACTAGCCCAATGCTCTGCCAACTGAGCTACGCGGTCAGGACGGTTCGAGTAAGTGATATTTTGGAACAGAATCTAGTTCCTTCGATACCAATGTAATCTAGTAATATGATTTTTTTTCTGTGCTGGTGTTGTGTACTCAGGTGAATATGAAGTTGGCAGAGCATTGGGCTAGTATTCCAAAGGTCGTAGGTTCGATTCCCACCGTGGACAGACATATTTCTCAAGCTCGCCCGGTGTGGATATACACTCAGAGTAACATCACAAGCATTATATTCACCTAAGTACATTACACCAACACAGAAAAAATCATATTACTAGATTACATTGGTATCGAAGGAACTAGATTCTGTTCCGAAATATCACTTACTGAACCGACCAGACCGCGTAGCTCAGTTGGCAGAGCATTGGGCTAGTATTCCAAAGGTCGTAGGTTCGATTCCCACCGCGGCCAGGCATATTTTTCAAGCCCGCCCGGTGTGGATATACACACAAGAGTAACATCACAAACATCATATTCACCTGAGTACACCGACACAAAAAAATTGTAAATAACTTGTTACGTGCAGACGATATGAGACTTGTTGTTACAGACGATATCAGCTTGTTGACTACAGAAGTCTGTAGGCCTCATCAACCTTGTTACAATATGATAACAACTTGTTCCAGACTTGGCAATAACTGGGAACAAGCCGTGCGAACACATCTTGATGGCAAGTTGTGAGATTTGTACACGTGCGGATGAGATGCGGGAAGGTGCACGTGAAACGGTTCTTGACACTTCATTTTTGCTAGTCTAGATTTATACAGCGTTTGATGTTTAAGGTAGCGAGAATCTTGCATAACAAACTATCATCTATTTCGTTCACAGACTATAACCAAGTTCCGACCGCGCACTCGTACAGGCCTGGGTCTCACTCGCCGCAATCCCCGAGCACCACGGCCAGCCCCACGAAAAGCAGCACTAGCCCCCCCTGGCAATGATGATGATGATGATGAAAACCTTTACGCCAATGTTCCGAGACGGGGGGTCACGGTGAAGGTGACCAATCCACAATACGTCCAAAAACAGTAAGTATGGATGAAGTCATAATTTATACATGGTTTGAATTTGGGATGATGTCATAGTTTATAAATGTGCTACATGATATACAGGGTGTATCAAAATAAACGCAATTCATCTTTTGTGCTTAATAACTTTCGAAATACTATTTCTAGTTAAACGCTTTTAGGCTTACTTCAAAGCCTGTTCTTTTCTCTTTCAAACAAACTATTATCCTTGTCTCCAATGCTAGTAATAATTGCACAGGGAAAGATTTAGTAAAACCTATCATTTTAGCGTTTAATTATGCAAGTTTACTATGTTATTGTTTAGTCGGTTTAAATATTAGAATTTTCTTCTTTAAACTTTAATGTTGTCGTCACTACATCTGGAAAACCACGTAAGAACAAATTAAAAGTATTTTAAAAGAGACCAGGTTGTTTGAAAATCCTAAATGAATGCTAAAAATCGTCAAAACATTCTGGTGTCATCGAATTGCGATGTAATTATGTAAACAGAAATTATAGCAAGTTGATGTCAGTCAGCTTAGATAATCCAAGCCAAAATTATATCGCATTTGAAGTTTCAAACTGAGTTAAAAATAGTGGAAGAAAAGCCGTAAACTTATTGTTACAATCCATTTAATAAAATGCAACATTTTTTTGTTTTAATGAAAAAATCAGTTATTTTCATGAGAACGATTTGTTATTCCATCTCAATTTTTTTAATCTCCAGTCGCAATAACGTAAAGTATTATTACCCGCGAACCAATGAGTCAAATTTAAGAAACAACCCACTGTTAGAAAGCTGAATGGCTACGCTTTAAAATGAATGTAAACTTTAACGTTTTCGTCTATTATTTGTTTAGCAATTTACATTTCAGTCGAGGATTGCGCTTTTTTGATACACCCTGTAGTGCTCAACGAAACAGGGGCGGATCTAGCCTCATCTGCAAGGAGGGGTGCAGGTTTTCCATGGGGTGGTGTATGAGGGAGCCTTACTGTCCACTCTCCTCTGCTGTCTGCAACGCTACTATCCCAACATTACCATTATTTGAGATGGCCAAATCTGCATGTTCGCCGCTCTGTTACGTTTTTCATAAAGTTTATATCGGCTTGTTATCAAGCATGCGTGACTGGACAGTTGCTGTAGCACAGTGCACGCGTAAAAATTGAGAAAATCAACAACTTGTTCCAGGTTGATATCAACAGGCGTGAACAAGGTTGTGCGGCCCACTATGAACAGTATTGTCAACATGTTGTTACAGCATTGTTCAACTGTAACAACTTGGAACAACATGGTTGAGTCATGGTTCACAACTTGTTCATAGTTGGCCGCACAACATTGCTCACGCCTGTCGATATCAACTTGGAACAACCTGTGCGTTTTTAGCCGTGTACAGTAAATTTGTTTGTTCAAGTACAGTACATTTGAAAATATGGCTGTATAACAACCTCGACATGTTTACATATTTAACCATGATATTTAACTAAAGTATTCTGAGTATTTTCTCGTGAGCTCACAGATCAATTTAATCGACACGCGCTAACAGTAGAAGCTCCGCTAATCGCCATTTGAAAAGCAGAAAATGTATGGTCAGGTAGATTTTTGAGGGGGTGCTAGACACCACTAGGTGTGCCTGTGGGGTGCGCACCCCCTCCCCCCCCCCCACGGTAGATCTGCGCCTGTAGTGATACCGAGCTATAGCAACTCACCGGATGGTTTGTTAAAATTAATAATTTCGAGTTCATTTCCTTTGTAGACTTGATGATTTGTAAACAACAACGTACTGTCCAGGGTGACTTTGTCTTTTATATATCGTATATCTAGAAGAAACATTAACGCTTGTAATTTTGTACTTCAAAGTTGATTGATCAGGGGCAAAGATACTAGACTCGTTTATCGGTCTTGCGATTTATCTGGTTGACTTCAAACACATACTTTCACGATGGTTTTCGAAAATGAAGTGGTACACGTCATCTGACGACATCACCGAATTAGGAACGGTTCGGTATGAGAAATTTCCGGTATCGGTATACCGAAAAAATTATACCGATATTATCGGTATACCGGTTTTCCTTTGATAATTATAAAGGAAAATTCTTTAATGGAAGTTTGAAGGAAATTTTGAGTAATTCTAAAAGGGAAAACGATCATTTCGAAGCTGTTTCGAACATGTTTCCAACGACATGCACGTGCTCAGTGTAAAATCTGAAGTGGAAATCTTAAAAAAATCTGAAGTGGAAATTCTAAATCATTGCAGTAGAAAGTTCTTGCCATTCAGTAGTAAAATAAAGGTTATGGTTTCGCCATATACCGTATTTACTCGATTGAGCGCCGCCCCCGAATGAGCGCCGCATTTGAGATCAAATTTTCTTAAAGAGCGCCGCCCCCGAATGAGCGCCGCACTAATTGTTTTCAAATGCGGCGCTTAATCGGATCCTTTCAATGCGACGAATTTACGTCTTCTGAAGTCGAGGAGGCATATCCAACAATGGTTACGGTGCAGCAGCTGGACTCGGATCATGAAGAGGACAGTGACATTGATATTTTGTAAACTTGTAGACAGTGTAAAAGCTTTCCGCCATCAAAATGGGGACATTTAGTGACCAAGACATTTAAAACTTGTTTATTTTATTGTCAAAAGTTCTTGTTATAATTCACAAATAAAATATTTTTTAAAGAGCGCCGCCCCCGATTGAGCGCCGCCCCCGAATGAGCGCCGCATCTGAATCTCTAAAAATTTAAAGAGCGCCGCGGCGCTCGAACGAGTAAATACGGTAGTTGGTAAATTTAACACGGTATACCGAAAAATTCCGGTATATCCGAAATTTCGGTATATCGGTACGGTTGAATATCCGGTATCGATATACACCGATATTGATTTAATACCGATATTTTCGGTATATCGGTATACCGAACAGTCCTACACCGAATGAAAAATATGTCTTTATTTAAGAGGCAATTTTTTCAGCGCGTACCTGCGATGAAAAGTGTTCAAAACCTAAAAT